ATAGTTTGTGTCAGCTGTGGTGACACTGGTTTCAGAGTTCATGACAAAGTCATCCTTGCGACATCTCGTGTAGCAAAAAATCCTACTAGAAATGATTAATGTTAGAAGGGCAGATACCTTAGAGTTGGGGCTCAGATAGATTTGAAAAAAAGGAGAAATAAAGCTAACCAAAAGGTGTGAGAAAGTTACTTGGAGACATTTCCGATGTTCTGCCAAAAGCTGGAAACAAGCTGCCATAAAGCTAAAATAAAGCTACTGAAAAGCTATTGAAAAGCTACTGGTAAGGATATGACTATGTTGCTAGGGCCTTCCTGCAGTGAGGAAATCCTTGCCCTCAACTTTCAACCCTCAACCCCAAACCCTAAACCGTAAACCCTAAACCCAAAACGCTCAACCCTCAGCGAGAACCCCAACCTGTCCCGAAACCTACACCCTAATTACACTTTAAACTTCTAAACCCTAAGCCCTCAGCCAAAACCCAAACCCTACCTACACCCTTAATACACCCTAAACCCTAAACCCTGCCCCAAGCCCCAAACCCTAGGCCCTAAACTTGAAAGCCGAAGCAACAGAATCTTTCACGCGCTCGGCCTTGCGCTGCTCCTGTCCCATCAGCCAACATCAGCAAGGGAGCGTTGGCTTTCCTTGAATATGAGTATGCAGGGTTTCCTTACTTTGTAGCCACATATATTTACCGCCTCAACTTCCTTGCTTCGTTTGGCTGATTTGGCAGCTTGCCAGAAAAGATGAGTGCCTCCAGCAGCTCATGCTTCGGCAGGCATACATAGGATGGGCTTGGGTGCAATGACGATGTTTGGGACTCTAGTCTAGGAATCAGGCATGAATCTACAGAGCACCAGCACTTTCCCATCTATGGACCCTGCAATTACTCGGAATGGCCCAGGGCTGGGCACAGCCACCATAGCTCAGCTATAGCAGCTGGGGTTAAACGGAATTGCGACTCAAGGCAAATCACGCTTGGTGGTCAGGGTTCTCAGGAACCTCGGCATCCTCGATGTCAACCTCAGCCTCAGCTGGCTTCTTCCTTTTGGTGCCCTTGTTGACTAAACTTCTAGCGCTCTCCAACAACACCGGCTGGATCTTGACATCTGCTATCTTGGACTCATCCATCTTGTCAAGTTGGGATTGGATGAGGTCGAGCTTCTTTTGAAGCGTTTTCTTCTGCAAGCCGCGGATCATCATGCCCTCAAGGACCAGGACCTCACACTCCTGGCTCAAAGTTTGCCCGGTCTTCACAGCCGCTGACACTGAACTCGCATCTTCCTTGCTGATTGCATCCGCCATCTTCTGCAAGAAGTGCGCAAACTTCATGGCCTGAGGCCAGGGAGGCTCATTACTCATGGGGAAAAACACAAGCAAACTTCTAACAGCTTCAGCGTGTATACTTTCAAGCCGAAGGCCCACACAAGAACACCTGCCTGATCAAGCTCCTCTCTGGAACTCTGGACAAGAGCTCCATCTAGCTTGTTGAAGATCTCCTCGCCAGCTGCAAGAACCTCTTTGAGGTCAGTACTGGCATCCAACTTCGCCTTCCAAGAAGCATCGCCGTTGCCCTGCATACCTTTGACATTCTCCAGCAGCTTGCCGACATAATTTTGCACTGTGTCTGCATGCCATTTGCACCATGCAACCAAGAAGTCGTGCTTCACTGCAAGAACTTCAATGTACTTCTCTGCGCATGAAACTTCCAGGAACGCTGACAAAGTCTTGGCCTCTGCCTCCGGGACCTCCATGTTGGCAGCCCTAGTTGACATATCAACCTCCAGCTGTTGGGACTTGGCTGTCATAGGCCGCAACAAAGTGCACACTCGCATCCAGGCCTCCAGGCACACACCCTTGCTGTCGCTCTGCACTTGAGCATCAGCAGAGCTACCAAGATCCCGGATGCCTTTCAAGGCAGACTGGTGGCAAGCAAACTCCTCGTGCATCGTGAGCTGCCAAGAAATCCACTCAGCTTGGGGATGACCACCGAGAACCGACAGAACGCGCTTGAAGCTTACAATGTCCTTCTTCATTTCGATGATCTGGTTCATTAGGGAAGCGTCCATCTCCAAGAGATTCGCCTGCAAGTGGAACATATCATGTAGCTAGACAAAAAACAAAGTTCACACAACAAAAGTCCCCAGCCTTCGCCATCAGAACTTTGAGAGCAGCCGCAAGCATGAAATCCACATCTGCCTGGGACTTGGCATCGAGGAGGTCATAGGACTTGCCTACCTGGTCCAAGATCCTCTGCAGCTCCCTGATCTGCAATGGCTCTTCTCTATCTTGGTGGGACCGGGCAAGCTCGGCCAATTCCCTCAGGACCAGTGTGGAGAAGTTGGCTTCCTTCCACTGCTGAAGCTGGATCACTACCTCAGCAACTCGCTCAGACCCGGGGGTCGATGGCAAGGAGCACAATGCATCGATAAGCCAGTCACAATCAATGGCCACCTTTGTGCAATTCTGGGCATCCGCTGCCAAGACCTCGTCTGCGACCGAAAGGAGCTTGTTGGCTAGAATTTCTTCCAGAGGCTGCAGGGCGCCAGGACGCAGTTGCTTCTGCATCTCGCTCCTTGCATCAATAGCTTGAATGGCTGCAGCCACACTAAGCACCATATTGTTGGCTCCCTTGAGGCTATTGATGCGAGTCTGGATCTCACCTGCAAACTCAGCTTCCGCAGACGCCACTTGGCGAGCTGCCTTCAGTTTGCCCTTCCAGAAGTCACTGTCCCGGAGAATGTCCCGAAGCTCTGTGTCCATGAAGTCTGGGCTCTTGACCACCTGGTCCACAAGGAAGACGCTGCTGCCAAGGTGTCTTGGGACAGGGCTGAGCACAGCGATGATGGACTTGCACCATCTCTCAATGTTCTGCATGGCGGCTTCGAAAGGTTGAAAGCTATCCGGCATCTTTGGAACCTCTTGCAGGGCCCAGACTGCCACGAGTCTTTCAACAAAGCGAAGGAGGAAGGAAGCCGTGTCATCAGAGGTGGCTGCCTCAAGCATCTTCAAGATTGGGTTGCAGGAGAAACTTCGCAGCAGGCAGTCCGCCAAAGCCTCCGAAGCTTGGGCACTTGGACAATCAAGAAAAAATTCTGCGTGACACCCTCCACATCTCATGGAAATTCTTCCCATCGAACAACACAAAACACTTTCAATGTAACAGGACCATAACCCTGAGTCTCAGCACCAACAGAACACAGACCAGCACACTCTGGAAACCCGCCTAGGACCTAGACTCTGGACTTGACATTGAATGACACTGAACAAAGTTTAACCCCATCTAAAAAATCGCGACCTGGGCCATTGAAATCCAAAAGCCAGCGTCAAAAAAATGCAGCAATCTGCATCCACATTGCTCAAGTCCCCTGCCCTGCCTGCCAATCTCCAGTCTGCTGCACCACAACAGCCTTGGCGGCTGCGCAGGTCGCTTCTTCCTTCTTGACCAAAACGCCCCAACCCGAGGAATCATCCTGCTCTTCTGCTTCTCCCACAGCTTCCATGACAACAGAACCGAGTGTTGGGCTGAAGAAATCCCATCCATCCGAGATCTCGGCAGGAAACGGCATGATGATACCCAAGTAGAGCTCAAGGTCTGCGACTGCCTTGGTGTTCACCATCTGCCGAGCCTGCTCTGCCGCTGCAAGGTGGACCACGCTGAGCTTCAGCTGCTCAGACGGCGGAATGTCGTTTGAGGCAACTAGCTGATACAAACGCAAGCGATCCTTCTTCTCCATCTTGTGCAAGTCTTTGGATTGCACAAGTTCCTGGATGGCCTCAATGAGCGTTATCCGCTTTTGCAACATGGTCTCCTCATTCATGCCCTTGAGCGATGGGAGCAGGCGTTTTGCCTGAAGCATGATAGGCCCACATGTAATTGCAACTTCAACAACTTTGAAACCCTCAACCCTAAACCCTAAAAAATGCAGAACATGATGATGCCTCCCAGCTACAGCGAAACACTGGTTGCCTAGCTTCACCCCCGACATGCACTTGCGCGGGTCAAGCGCTGGCAAACACTCCGGCAAGGTCTTCAAAGCCAAGGCGACCTTCATCATGGGCTTGTCATGGTCCAGGGCTGCTCTGATCTGAGCCTCAGAGTCCTCAGGCTTCTCATTGGCTGCCTGACTTTGACTAGCCTTCCCTGACTTTGAAGTCGGAGCCTTGGAAGCTTCAGAAACTGCCTCAGGTTGCTCACTGGCCGCCTTGCCACCAGTCTTCCTTCTCTGACGCCTCAGGGTGGAGTTGTACGGGGCATTCGCAGCATCAGCTCCAGACAAAGAGAACTTGTCCAGAGCGGCCTTCTTGATCTCATCCACAATGGGGGCTTGCTCAGGCAGTCCCTCGCCAGGATTCGAGCCCTGGATCCTCCTTGCCAATTCGAGCTCCGCCTCGCGTCTCTGCGTGTTCATGTGCTCGACTTTGCGCTTCAGCTCCATCAAGGACTTGAGCTCTGACAGGACTGGACCATCTTCCTTGTTGATACATGGCCGCAGCTGGTCTTTCTGAGCACGCCGACCATCCAACAGTCGCACCAGCGCCGCACCTTGTTCAGGGGCGATCTGGTCCTTCGGCTGAAGCACTTTCTTCGAGTGCTGGTAGTGCGTGTTCGAAAACAGTCTCACTCTCCTAAATCCGTTGAACGTCTGCCACGTGACGCTCTCTGGAAGGTCGTCAGCCCTGAGATAACATCCTGATAACAAGGTTTTGCCATCTTCGGCAAGTCTGGATGCAAGCGGCAGCCCCAATTCATGAGGCAACGCGCCTGCGTGACGCAGCACTTGCTCTGTGGACAAAAACAATATTTCCACAAACGAGTATTCTCCACAAATGTGGATCGACTCTACAGCGGAAGGAGGATAGAAGCTTTCAGCAGGCTGCCCATTCTCTACAAGCTCGAGCTGCTTGCAAGTTCTGGTGACAGACTCGTTGAAGTCCTTGTTCTCCCTGCACTCTTGCACACCAGCACTCCACTCTCTGCCGTGCCCTGTCTCCACTGCCACATGGCACCGCAGACACGCATCTTCAATCACAGCATGAAAATTGTGGTCCTGCATCACAGAATGCTGGCTTCAACTGGTTCAATACTTACTAACTTACTACTTCTAGCACTGCCGACATTTCAGTCCTTGCTTGTGCAGTGGCAGCGAGCACAGACCCTCAACCCCTTGGTTGGTCTGCTTGGCTGCACAGGAGCAGAAGGCGTGGCCTTCTGCATCTTTCGGCGCGTAGCCTGCAAGGTCATTCAAAGGGGGGGTGCTCTGCACAGCAGCAATGGACAAAGAACATCTTTGTCTGTTGGTCAGAGCGCGTATCAGAATGGGTCACCTATATGACTACACTGCACAAATGCCATGCACATCTTTCAGAAAAATCCTCTCTTGGTCTTCAACCGGAACCCTCCCTGAACCATCATGACTCATGAGACACCAGCAGTCGTGAGGCCTGCGGGGCACTCATCCTGCCCGAAGTCCAAACTAAGTGAGACTACCAAGCAAGCTGGCTGCAGGCAGCTTGTCAAAATCAAATCACGTCCAGTTGCAGGCACCATGCTCAATGCTGATCACAGAAGAGAAGCACACTGCGTAAGCACTAGTGACTAGTGCGCCCATCCAAGCCAGACCCTCAATAAAAGACACACACAGGTGCGCAGGCATCTGAGACTCTGAGACATTGCCACGGTCACCATTGCTGATGGCGGGGAGGTTGGGGGTGGGGGCAAGGGGCTGGGAAATTCATTTTTCTCACACCCCCACACCTCACCCACCACACCCCCACACACCCACCACATCCCCACATCACCCCCACCACACCGCCACCACAACCCCACCACACCCCCACCTCTGGAAAGAAGATGTTGGAACCGAACGAGCCCCTTGCATCCGAGACCTTACCCGAAGACAGCAAACTCCATGCCCCACTGCCCCGAAAATCAGTGAGCAGGAAAAACTCACACTGCCCTGTATCTCCGGTTTTGGAGGTGCGGGGGTGCGGCTGCATGTAAGTACAGATTCAACTGAAAAAGGCTCAACGAAATGCTCACGCTCCCAGAATCGCCCAAGATAATTGACCGGAGCGCTGAAAACTGTCTCGCACTCTACCACTGCAGAGCACTTAGATTTTTTGGCCCCAGAGTCACGGGAGCTCATTGTCAGCTGCAACGCAATTCTGAGCGGTAAAGAGGCCCTCCAACAGTACCAACTGTCAGCACAAGAGGATAAGTAACCCCTGTTCCCATTACTCCAAATGTTTGCTGCATAGACTGACTTAGTTCGAAATTCATGGGACTCAGCAACAATGAACTTGCATTTGGGGCAGGCTTCTTCAGACATGTTATGCATCTATACATATGTACAGAATTATAAACCTGTAGTCTTCCAAGCAATAATACCTACCTTGTTCACTCAGTCCCATGAACCTCGGGGTATCCCAACCTTGTACTAGGGGTCTTCTCATCCAGAACAGGCTACACAAACAAAAGCTGTGGAGTGTATGAGTACGCATAAGGGTCTTGGGGCCAACCGCTGTAGACTCTAGACCGTCAGCTACTCCAGCTGCTCTGACTCTAGCTGTAGCTGCTCGGTGTGAAACTCTTCACAGAACGCTTTGCGGGGACTAAGCAAAAGCTGTTTTGCCAGCCCTCGAACACTGCTGCATTTAAGACACAGGCCACTGGAAAGCAAGAAGAAATCTGGACTCTACCTTCTTTCCCGATTCCAGCTCTAAAGCTCTGAAACAAGTCTAAGAGAGTTTACTCCTGTTTACTGTGGTGGTAACAGTCTACACAGTCTACACACTACATCTCAGATACACAATGGCCGGCTTGCCCAGCTCTTGTGTTGGCCTGCCGTAACACAGTCAGCGCTCTGCCTGTACCGGAATTGAACAAGAAAAGGAGCAACGTCTGCTGTACAGCGCTTTCTACATATCAGGACCCGGAAGCCCAAGCATCTGCCAGATCACCTTCGCGTCATGGATCTGCCGTGTTCAGTCCTCATCACGTGGAAGGCAAGCAGGACTGTGCCTACGCACGGTAGGCTCATCCCGCAGCCGGCCATTTTTTTAAGATCCTTCATGCCAACCGACTCAGGAACGAAGACTGCGCCGAATCCGTGTACTGACAGCATCTCTTCTGGTAAAATGACTCGGTCTTCTTTGTAGCTATAAAGTTGGGTTGCAGAGGTGAAGCACGGGGTGATGCCTTGTGGATTCGTGAAGACACTCCGCGCCACAGATTGGCTGACATCAACGTAGATGGAGTTCAACGAAAACTGTCCTGCTGCACTTGCAGCTGCTTTCGCTGCTGTGACATCAATCACATCCTTGACCCGCTCTGTCAAAGAGAGACCTTCGCCTGCGAAGCTTTCCCTAGAGGTCCAGGGGCTGAAGGAATTGGATAGATTGAGCTGCTCCCTGGCAGCCCTTGAGTGCACTCGCCATTGGGCATCCTGGTGATCCGCATCATCCTCATCGAGACGCTGCTCACGGCTTCCTACCTGAGTAGGCAAAACATGTAATGCGCTATGTTATGCGCAACGCCCATGGCTATTAACTCTTCACGCTGTTGTCAACAAACGAATTTATGGGTCTGGGGGAAGTCAGACTCAATAGAGTGATAAAGAATTTCTAGGATTCGAGGAATCGGAAGAAAATCCAACGGCCGAGACCAAGGCTTGCAGAAAGATTGGACCGGACCCCCTAACCTCCTGACCGACCCCCACCCCAGCCCGTTCCCGGCCCCAGCCCAGAGCCCTACTCCCACCCACTCTCTGCAAGCAGCTATTTCGCGGCTCTTCACGCACGTCTGCATCAGCTTTTTGTCACCTTTTTTTTTTTTTTTTTTTT